TATTGGTGGCAATGTGAAAATTCCATTTGGAAAATACAACTCCAGTTGATTTAGTTGATCACCCTCTCAGTCTTCAAAAGATAACATCATGATGTGTGGGAAGTCCTAGTTTTAAGGAAGCCACTGAAATATAGATGGAAGATATGGACTTTACAAGTATATATGATATATACTTGCAATGTGACATGGTTCTATAGATCATTTTATAATAATATTTTAATTTATCATAATTTATATAAAAGAAACCTTTTTTGTTTGTCTGTCGAAAAAAAATGAAGGAATAAGAAAAAAACATAACTACAAAATGCTAAATTTCAGCAAGTGGGTTTGGCATGTCTTTTCCCGTTGATTCAGGCCAAAAAGTGCTATTGTTAGGAAATTTATTTTAAAAAAAGACTGATACACTATTTTCATATTTTTTTGTTTATTTGCACAACTTTTAAACCAGATTACTGGTTAAAATCCAACAGTACACAATTTATAAGGTAAAAAGATTTTATAAGGAAAACAAATATAATAACCAGTGCTGTGAAATGCAGAAGAAAGGTTTTTTGTTTTTTTGTTTTTCTTTTTTAAGGAAAACCCTGCCTAAAATGTTAATTTTGTACAAAGTGTGTATTTGGAATTTTCTGTTTTAATATAGAATATTATAAAGTCAAAATATAATAAATTGTTTCCAGATTTGGAGTTTAAGATATAGCTGTAGAGATGGTTTTTGATTCTTTTAGATGTCTCATAAAATGAGACTTTTTATATGTTAATGTATGATAAGACTGAAACAAGATTATTTTCCATTTGAAATTTTTGTATAGTTTAAAAATGCTTCTGTATTCTTTGTTGATATTGTGCCACTGCAAAACTTTAGCGCAGAGTTTATATTTAGCTAAACTGTTATGTTAATTAAGAAATGCATAAATCTTCTATTCTTAATATTTGTAATTCTAAATAAATTGATCTATGAAAATTACTACTGTTTACATTTTTATTTACTGAATACAAGTTGATAACTATTGCTTGTTTCACAAATTTTTAAGAATTGTAATTTCCACCAAGTTATATTCTTAGAGGAAGCAGTACAGACGTATCACCAAGTCATTTTGAAGGACAGTACCATCCAGTATTAGTTCAGCAAGGGGTTTTTTCCACGGGTGAGTACCTCTCAGTAGAAACTCTCAGCAAGTAAGTTATTTGGCCTGGTACAGACCTAGTGAAAGGTTGATTTTTTTTTTTTTTTTTTTTAATGTGTTCAGGCGATCCTTCTGCCTCAGCCTTCCAAGTAGCTGGAAAGGTTGATTTCACTATCTCCTGCCTAGAATTGGGTGAGCATAGTTTACATTTTTTCTTTTACATTTCTTAGGGCTCTCTTGTCTTCAGTTGTTCCTCATTTTATACATATTTAATTAAGCACCATTTGTTTTCAGTGCCATTATGTGTTGATAGCAGGGACTGTGCCTAAGAATATAGTTGGTTTTTATTTCTGTTTAGGGAAGAAGAAATCTGTATTTTTCTTTTTTTTTTTAAGCACTTTATTTTATTTTATTTTATTTGAGTTGGAGTCTCACTCTGTCGCCCAGACTGGAGTGCAGTGGCTGCTCCCAGCCACCGCAGCCTCGACCTGCCGGGCTCCGGCGATCCTTCCGCCTCAGCCTTCCAAGTAGCCGGAATTACAGGCATGCGTAAGTACGCCCAGCTGATTTTTTGATTTATTGTAGAGATGAGGTCTCGCTGCCCAGGCGGGTCTCGAACCCGCTGGCTCAGGCAATCCACTCACCTCAGCCTCCCAAATGCGCGGGATTACAGGCTGAGCCACCGAGCCCGGCTGAAATCTGTATTTTTCAAAGGAGTCACTTTGGTCACTTGTACATAGATCTGAATGATGGGCTACTGCTTAACACACTTTTGGAGCTCTGAAGAAAGCTTTCAAAGCCAGAGTGAGCTAACAGGCAAGCATATACATGGCTTTATTTATATAGATTTGGTTCTGAATTCCTTTAAGCTAGCTCCAAAAGTCATATTTACTTGTTACCATTGAGAATCTACAAAAAGATTTGCCCATTAGATTTTTTTCTCTTGACCCACGCGCCTCTCTCCATCTTCATTACCACCACCACTCGCTGCCCAGCTGCCATCATCACTAGCCTGGAACACTGCAGTCGCCTCCTAAATTATCTCCCAGCATCTATTCCGCTTTCCTCAAATGCAGCCATGATATTTAAAATTTTTTTTTTTTATGTTTATTTTTTGGTGTGTAAGTAGAAATTTATTGGAAGATAGAAAAGCTCCCTGGCAGTGGGAACGGACCCAAAAGAGAGTTGACCTGCCAGTGATTTTTTTAAATGCAGAATTGGTCGTGTTATTCCCCCATCTATAAATACCTTTAAAGTCTTCATATGACTTTCAGAACACATTCAGAACTCTTTTACATGACCTATGAAGCCATGCGTGAATGGTCTAGCCTCTGTTCCCTGCCCTCTTATCTTAGGTAACTCCTGATCATCTATAGGTCTTACCTTCAGCATCATTTTGTCAAGTTCCTTGACCACAACACACCTCCTGTTACAGTGTTTCCAGGTCATGTACCTCTCTTTCCAGCACTTGTCACATTTGCAATTTTATATTTCTTGGAGATCTTTTGTTTCCATACTGGCCTCTTTGCTGCAAGAGGGGAGGGGCTGTTTCTGTTTTTACTCACCATTTTATTTCCAGGTCTTGATAAAGAACCTGTTCATAGGCGCCAAACAAATATTTGTGAAATGAATGAACAAATGAGAGTTTCAAAAAAGCTCTAAGAAATAGTTGTGTTCTTGGAATAAGAGAATGGTCTTCCATGATGACTTCTTCAATGAGACAATATTCACTGGTATCTAGTAATTTTGATTTGGGGATTGCTTTTACACCTATCACATTACTGTATCGTTAGTCCTGACTAAAAAGACCAGTCCAATATAGAAGGCACTATACTGTGGTGGACAAGTGGGGGGGCTGAGTTAGTCCTAGGCTTGAATCCTGGCCATGCCATTTACAAGCTCTGTGATTGCGAACCACTACTTAGATAAAGTTTCCTGATCCTTAAAATGGGAAGAATGGTCCCTATGGTATATGGTAGGTATGAGGATTCAATATATACCGCCTATAACGCATTTAGCAGCTAGGGCCTCTTAGTGTATGAGAGTTGCAGGCTACTTCTATTCTCAGAAGATCTTACAATTTTAAAAAATTTTAAATGTAACAACAGGATTTAAATATTTGTAGATGTTTTAAATTGTTCACTGAGGAAATAGACCATAAGACAATATCAATGCAGTAATGCAATTAATAAGCTAATTATGAAATTTAGTTTTAAGTGTGATTCTTTTTTTTTTTTTTTAGTTGGAGTCTCACTCTGTCACCCAGACTGGAGTGCAGTGGCCGCCAGGCCTCCGACCCTGACTGTGGCTCCCGTGATCCTTCCACCTCAGCCTTCCGAGTAACCGAAATTACAGGCACGCGCTACCATGCCCGGCTGATTTTTTGATTTATTGTAGAGATGAGGTCTCGCCAACTTGCCCAGGTGGGTCTCGAACCCGCGGACTCAGGCAGTCCACTCACCTCGGCCTCCCAAAGCACGGGATTACAGGCTGAGCCACCGATCCCGGCTGACAGTTTTCAAAGAGTTCAGAAGTCCAGTTTGCCACTAAAGCCAGAGCTATGTTCTCTTGACTGCTTTTAGTCATGGATTTGCTACTCTGAAAAATACAAACAACTTGAATAACATCTCTGTGAAAATCAGGGCAACTGGCATGTATAATCTCTAAGACATTCAGCATAGTTCAGGCTCTTCCTATAACCATCAAGACATAATGTCCTGGCCCCAGTCATGGCTTCCTTTGAGCCTACTTTAAAGCAACATTTACAGAGAAACCTCGCCTATGGTTACTCATATACAAATCATTTCCTTTGGCTTTAAGGAGTTTGAAAACCCTCAAAATAGCAATATAATATATTAATTGATCCTAGACTAACTTAGAAACAGTCATTTACATACATTGAGAATTATAAATTTAGAATGAGAACTCTCCCAAAACCTAAATATTCAATACATATTACTAAACTTTGAGCAAGCAAAGATATACTTTTAACCAGTGTATTAAGCTGTCTAAAAGAATTCATTTAAATAGAAATTACGTTGAAACAGTTTAGAAAAACATTTAATAATTCACTAAAGTTGCAAAGGAAGTACAATAACAAGTGCTAAGGGTAAGCTGGAGTAATCGAAGTAACAGGTGCAAAATCATGATTAGAGAAAGTTTTAGACTTCAGAAAGGGGAGTCTTGAGTGTTTTGAAAAAGATATTCATTTGGTCTAAAACTGAAAGGAATGATTTTGAGACAGAAGCATATATTGTGAGTAGTTGACCTAAAGATTTGCACAGCTGTCCTGTAGGCTAAAGATGATGTCAGTTATCTGGAAGAGTAACTAAATTTTTTTTTTTTGAGTTGGAGTCTCACTCTGTTGCCCAGACTGGAGTGCAGTGGCCGCTCCCGGCCACCGCAGCCTCGACCTGCGGGCTCCGGTGATCCTTCCGCCTCAGCCTTCCGAGTAGCCGGAATTACAGGCATGCTACCACGCCCGACTAATTTTTTTGATTTATTATAGAGATGAGGTCTCGCCTGCCCAGGCGGGTCTCGAACCCGCGGGCTCAGGCAATCCACTCACCTCAGCCTCCCAAAGGCGCGGGATTACAGGCTGAGCCACTGAGCCCGGCTACTAAATAGTTTTTATAATTTAGTAGCAACTGGAGGCTACTACAGGGAGTAATTTTTTTAAAAAATTAAAATAGAGATGGGGGTTTTGCTATGTTGCCCTGGCTAGTCTTGAACTCCTGACCTCAAGTGATCTTCCTGCCTTGGCCTTCAAAAGTGCTGAGACTACAGATATGAGCCACCATTCCTGGCCATCAGTGAATAATTTTCAAAAAGTAGCTGAGGATTTAGAGGCAGGGGAACTCTTGAAATAATCTGGATCTGGAGTCACTGGAACTGTGATTGAATGTAAAGATGACAGGACAATTTTTTAAAGTAATAAATCTTCGTGATAGGATGAGGGTTGAAGACCATGTTTAAGGTTATAACCCTGGAGGGACCATGAGAAGATGGTAGCTGTCAAGCACATGGGGAAATTGAGTCAAGCTGGGGGTACTTTGGAAGAAGATAATGAATTCTGAACACTCAGGCCACAAAATAAGACAGGCCTGGCAAGAAAGCGCAGGGATATGGACCAAATTAAATATGCAGACTTGGAGACACAAGTAAAAATACCAGAACTCCTGCCAGGGGTAAGGGGTGGTAAAAGATTCATTGAAAAAGGGAGGGGGACCTTCAAACATAAGAGGTGACTGTCAAAACCATCATCAAGGTTAACAAAGACATGTCCTTAACACAGACATCAGGAAGGGCAGTATTCTGATGTGTCCTCCACACTGTCAGTCACAGCTCCTGAGCTTATCCTGAATTCTCCCAGAATCCTCAAAAGTTACCAAAGGCAGAAAAGATGTGTTCCTCCCATGAGTCCAGCTTTGAACCAATGTTTTCAGAGAGAGGGGAATAGGTTTCAAAACTCTGACTTTGGGAGCTAGAGTCAGAGGTGCCCCCTCCAACCCTGTTTGGATCCGGCAGGCAGTTCACATCGACCTCAAGAGGCAGCTGGGGCTTCAAACATTTCGCTTCAGTGCCAGGAGTAGAGTGGTTGAGGAAGATCTCTGGCCTAGCTGAAGGTTGGCAGGATTTCCCACTCTGGCGCCGCGACTTGGCACGCCTGTTCTGGAACCACACCTGGAAGAGGGGAGGAAGAGACTGCTTTGGGTGGGAGTTCTTATGCTACCCTTATGGTCAGTTTATATAATAATAAGTTCCAGTTTAACATCCCCCTGCTCCCTGTTCCAGAGCCTGAAGGTCTTCAAAAAGCACCTGGGTTCCAGAGCACCTCACCATTCCCCGATGCAAAACTGGAATACTGTCTAGCTTCATCCCTTACTTAGGGACATTTTCATGGAAAATAGGGACATAGAAATAAAAGCTTAGAGTTCTTAGCAAAAACATGCTACTGTACTTAAAGACAATAGGCATTAAAATTGTTTAGGAAAAAAATAGCTTTTGAAAGTCTGTACTCTTTTTTTTTTTTTTTTAGTTGGAAAAAAATGGTTTTTGAAAGTCTGTACTCTTTTTTTTTTTTCGCCCAGACTGAAGTGCAGTGGCCGCTCCCGGCCACCGCAGCCTCAACCTGCTGGGCTCCGGCGATCCTTCCGCCTCAGCCTTCCGAGTAGCTGGAACCACAGGCGCGCGCTACCACGCCCGGCCAGTTTTTGACTTATTGTAGAGATGAGGTCTCACCAAGTTGCCCAGGCGGGTCTCGAACCCGTGGTCTCAGGCAATTCACTCACCTCTGCCTCCCAAAGGCGCGGGATTACAGGCTGAGCCACGGAGCCCGGCTGAAAGTCTGTACTCTTGTCAAACTAATCAAGGGGATATTTTGCTCAGCGAACTTCACCTCTGTGAATACATTTTCCTGCTCACTATTTCCCCCCAAATACAGTGTCCAACTCATACCACCTGTTGAAACTGACAGCTGCATGACCGCCAGGGGTGCAGAGAAAGAAAGTCCATTCTTTCCCGGTGTGGAAATGACAGCTCCTGCTTAAAACTACCCTTGGACGCAGCCCGCGGTACACCGACTAACAAGCAAGAAGGCAAGCCTCTCGCTCCCAACTGCAAATTCCAACCTAAATCACTCCGGACAGTAAGCACAGCTTGCACTTGATTTTGCAAGCTGTGGCAAGCTCCAGATGCTTCAAGATTTACCCCAAGATGCCACCTCCTTTCGCACCAACATCTCAGAACCAATGCTTGCCAAGAGAGTGGCCTGGGGCTGAGTAACGGCGAGCCGCCCTACGGAGCTACGGTTCCCAAACTCAAAGCCAGAGGGGACACCCAATGGCGCCTCATCTGTGTCTTCTACCTGGATAAGGAGAAAGTGTGAAAACACCCACTTCCCACCGGGAATTGCTTTCTGGCCATCTCAAGGAAACAGCCAGCCGCCTCGGGCCCCACATAATAAGCATAAGAGATGCGTTACTGGGCGCACGCCTGAAGCACTTCCCTGAAGCCTCAAACCGTCCTCTGCCACAGATGCTGAGGTCAGCCCCATTTCAGTCTAGAACGCCGCGGCCCAGAGGAAGCAACCTGCCCACGGGGGGCACCGGGCGTGGCCCGGGGAGCCGCGGGGGCCCGGCGGGCTCGCCGCCTCCCCTCCAGGGCGCGCCCGGGACGCGGCGGGCCTCTCACCTGGATCCTGGACTCGGGGAGCAGGGTGAGCGCCGCCAGACGCTCGCGCAGGTGGATGTCGGGGTACATGGTGCGGCGGAAGACGAGCTCCAGCAGC